TTTTTTTTTGAGGCTATCAATTGTGAAATTATTATTTTTCGTCCTACTTCCATCCTCATTATCATCTATATAATCTTGTGCTCCTATTTCAGAAATGTGATCTGTAGTCTTTTTTAAATTAATTGAAGTATCAGTTTTAACCTCGTGGTTTGGGGTAGTAGGATTTTCGACTAGCAAAGGAAGATTTTTCCCAGTTGACTTCAGTCTTTTACATTGAATTGCAGGCACATCATGCATGGCGTGTTGCTGTTTTTGTTGGTTTTGCTCTTTCAAATATGTGCATTCGAGTTGCCCTCGATTTTGCGTTTGGGCTATTTGACCCTTAACTATTAGATTAGAAGCACCTATCTCCGTCCCTGAGCTTTTGGCTAATAGCTTCTTTGTGATCGGTTCAGATTCTAAAAGCTTGACCAGAGCGGAATGCTGTTGCTTCAACTGTTGACTCTTCGTAGGCGGAAGACATTTATGAGTTCCTAAACATTCTGTGTATTGCTCTTGTATATTTCCACTGGGCTTTTCTAACAAAACTATTTTTGTCAATTGGGGTTCCAGCAGTGGCATTGAATTTGATTTCAATAGCTGAGGCTGCGACGTTTCTTCCATATGTGTCTGGAAAGGCTGACGATGGTGTTGTGGCTGATGCTGATGTTGACGCTCATTGGCGTTCAAATCCTGTGTTGCACAAACCATTTTCACAAAATCTCTCTCTAATATTTAACAAATTTATTCCAAAATGTTGGATACACACTTTTTTCTTTTAAATCCTCACAACATGAATTGAACATGTTTCAACATATTTCGATATATTTTACTTATTTAACTGTCTACTTCTTGAAGAATTTCCCGCCAAAAGACGAACACTGGTTTTTGTGTTATTGACTTTCCTGTTTCACTTCAACATGTTTATATATTTTTCCCGCTCATCTCTTATGTATGGATGCTCAAGTTTTCATAGCATGCAATCAAAAGTTGTCTTTAAAATTTTTTTTTGTATTTTTTTTTTGCCTAATAATTTAGTCTAGTTTTGTACGATGGGTGTTGCACGTTGGGTTGCAAGTTCGTTGCTACTAAATGTATGTAATCACTGAATTTTTTGAACGCTTTTCGACTAAGCTGTTGTCAATCTTAATTTGCAATATTAATTTGTCTTTTTTACATTTGTTCACTATAATCTCTTCAATTAAACAAGCTCACAAAGCGTTCGCACATATACTCAACCGTAGCGTTTGACAGGCAAATTGCGAATGATTTTCTCAACTCAACCTCGAATTGTTTATTCGTTGCTGTGCTCGTAACGTACGAATCGTTTTTACGTCTACTCTAGTATATTCTTCGGTGTCTCGGCCAGCCGAGCCAACTAGCTGAGAACAATGACCCCCAGATGAGTACAAGAAACCAGCTATAACTGAGTGAGTTTTGGAATTGAGTAAATTTACTGTGTGCGTGTTTTTTCATACACATAATATTCAGTATTCAAATATCTGTCCCACTTTTTTGGCGATTACAAGGTACCAGAATAAACGTACATACATATGTATGTACATGCATACTCCCTTGAAGCTTATCTATTCAAGTTTTAATCGATTAAGTACATACATCAGTATACATACATACATGCATACATAGATATATATGTACATATTCAAACACACTAACATACATGTATTTTATGTGGAATGATAAAAATTATGAAAATCTTAGATATTTATTGCGGAAGAACAGTTATTATAAATGGCTCTACTTATTGGTTTGAAACCTAGGTTTTTGTCCCGTATGTGGGTGCACGAATTTTTAGTTTTTATACTCTAAAATTAGAGCTTTTTACAAAATTTTAAATTTGATTTCATCAAAAGTTATGAAAACGTAAATAAAGGTCTGGTGAAAAATCCTCATTGTGCATTTAGCATACCAGTGGCTAGCGACTTTTCGTGAAAAGCTAGATATGTAGCTAAATCTACAATCAACCATTTCAAAAACACAAGTGACGACGAGATACATACAAACCTAGTATGAGACTCATGGGGATGCAACGCATTGAGCGAATCAAGAGTGCAATGATGGCGTCGTCATTGTTGCTTATACATATTAGTTCAACGAACTCCATCATTGTCGTGACCCAATTCTCGGTCAGCAACCTCGAAAAGTGGAGCTCGTTTGTTCGCTCACTTCATATGCCCGTTCTATTCAGTTCGTTTACAAAACTACACAATGATATTCATATACATACATACATATCTATCTACATATGTAGGTATAGATTTGTATGCACATTTATTTGTATATTTTTACGAGAATAAACGAACAGATAGCTTTGCATACACTCCCGCTTTGGTTTTGTGCGCGACAACTACAATAATGATGTTGATATTCCGAGTCCCAAACATTGAAGGAGAATCGCTTTTAATCTCTCAGCGCGAGTATAATAAATGCTCACACCTACAAGTTTTTTTTATAAATATTGCATCTCTCTGAATACTTGATTGCTGGCTCTCATACTGAATACTATAAAAATTTTTATCAACGAGCCTGAGTAAAGAATGCAGTCCTACTTGCATAAATTTAAATGTCTGTATATAGATACACACACATGCATATGCATATACAGAAATCATTGTTCTTAAGTTCACGCAGCCTGTTATGGAGTGAGAGGTGACGATTATGCTTCTGCACCACAGGGAGAACGCAGAGTGAAATGTGGAAACATTGGCGAGTTATATGGAACAAATATGTATACAATCTGGGTTCACCTTAGCTACTGAACGGTCAATGACATAGAAACGCTCAGTAAAGTGCACACTGCACATTCTCATAGCATTAATATTTATGCACACATTAGAGGAACTCGGGAAAATTAGCTTTAATTCTTTGCACTATATGGCACGCTTAATAATATAACGAAGTATTTCAAAATTTAAATTTTGTGGGAAAACGCAATCAAAAGTTTTATTAACTCACGCAGATGGAAAGAAAGAAATACACCTTCGCCATATTTGGGAAGTTTAATTACCTGATAGACTGAATAAATTCTACTTATCAAGCTTATCAATTGCATAACGATATCTCCAAAAACGTAAATTTTGAGTTACATCTCTATATTATTAAACCTGCGATATGTACTAGTCTTTTAAACTTTCTGGTTCTTTCAAATCAATATCATTGTTGAGCTCCTTTAAAATTATCCCAAATTGGAGTCAACTATAGCCGCGCTACTACAAATTAATAAAACCGCTTACATTTTTAAAAACCGTTTGTTTAATTAAAGTATGTTACAAAAACATTAAAACCTTGCCCAAGATTCTATGAGTCATGTATATTGCCGGCTCCTGGGAAGAACCAAATGAGCCAGATTTTTGTGGTAACTGAAATTTCCGAGTATACAAGCTGCAATTACATACATAGATACATATGTACACATATATTTTGATAAATAGGGGAAAACTGCGTAACGGCAACTGCTGTGACGTAAAATGACATTTACATGATCAAGTAACTACATATTCATCCCCGACATAACTCATCATTTTGAACTTGTTTATCATTTCCCTGAATTCAATAAATTAAATTATAAAATAAGTCAAATTCATTCATTAATCTATATACATAACCGAATCGCTTGATATATTCTAGCTTAACCAAAATATATTTTGTATGCGCACTCATCTTGAACCAATTCTGAATCGGGGAAATACAAACAGGGTTGTTCCATTTAATACTTTATTATCTCAACCGATTAATCGCGATTATTTTAACTACATTAAATAATGGTATAACCTATGAAACACAAAACTAGGGATTTCTAGAAAATCTTGTTGTCGGAATTTAAATTATACCACTGAAATTAAAACACATTATAATCGTTTCCAAGAATAAAGTCTTAACTCTAAAAATCAAAAATGCTAGAAGAAAACGGCGTTAACGTTTTAAGCTAGGGTATCCCTTTGAACAAAAAATAGTAACTAATCCATAAATGTTTATACATAGTGGTTGGTGCCTAATTATAATTTGCCAAGCAAAGGGAAATGTTGTAAAGAAAAAAATCTCTTCTTATGAGACTTAAATGACAGATATTATATGTACATAATGCATTTTTACACAACATAAAAGCAAAGCAAACGTGCGATGTATCTATGTTTTAACGTACCCATAACCAGTGTGTCCGGAAGTTTGGAAATTAAAAAGCTATGTAAACTTAAAACAAAAGCAATAAAAATCTATAGGCTACAAAGAAGGCGCTATCTTTATTTGTTACACATTGGAATTTAGATATTTTTTATTACACGTTATGTTCCAGAAATGAAACTGCTTTTCGCCATTGATTTATCCCATTAATAAAAAAATATATAAAATACATACATATACATATGTATATAAAATCACATATTCAGAAATTGAAAAAGGCAGGCAAAAAGCTTGGAAGCTAGACCAGAAATTTCGAAATAAAATAAACTGCTAGATCTAGCCTCAAAAAGACTAAACTGGCAACACAGCCCATAACAAGACTGGTTAAAACCATACATACATACATATATACAACCATACATATATTTGTATTATATATTGAATAATCTTTGGCTTAAAACACCCCATTTTATGCTGCCTTGATGTCAACAAACTCTCCGCGTAGATGAAAAAGGAATAACAAAACAACTGCCAGTAATGACCGCAATTTATGGTACAAGCGCGATGCTCAATATGCTTACTCCTGCTGCTGGTTGCACTCATTCATACTCTTAAACAAGTTTTTGAAGAAAGTGAGAGGATTTTTCATCTTCACCTTGTCATCTTTCTCACAGTCAACACATTTCAGATGGAACCATGTTAGGTTTTTATAAAATTGAGGTATGTGAAGAATCTCATGATTTAATCAAAGTTTTATATTTCTAATTGGTTATGCTTTTCAAACCAAACTAATCAAACTTTTAATAATAATAAATACAGTTAAGTGGAAAATGGAATTAACAACAAGCAAATAATACAGAGACTTCTGTATGCCAAATATGAACACAAAGAAAAAATTATGTCCTTTTATTCAACATAAATTTTTCCATACAATTTTCTCAGAATATGCACCCAATACATACATCCATACATATGTGTTAAATATACATAATTTTGAATACATGGATAAAAATAAGTCACGATTTTACTATTGACGTCATTTGCCAGCACCCGTTGTTTGTTTATGTATGTGCAGGCATATGCAGTTATGTATAGTTAGTTACATACCTATGTACATACATTTTTCGACAAATGGACGCATTTCAGAACACACCTACAATATCTAATAGGTATGTATGTATATATGTATGTCCTCCATGCAAATCAAAACTCATACTTAGTCGTAACCGAGCTAGCAGACAAAGTTCATTTACCTCGTCGATGGACACAGTTCCATTTCGACCTCGTTGGCCAAGATAACCCGCAAACAGTATTTTTTTCAATTGCAACTACATGTTGAGTTTGAGAGTCTCTCAAAATGAAACATGTATGTATGTATATGCACATGTATTGGTAGGTATACTCGTCGCACGTTATAAACGCATTCATAGATGGAGTACGTGGGAGAGTGGAAATAAATCGAGTATAAAACCACTTAAGAAAATCGTGCTCTTCTCACTCACTCTAACCAATCAACTCAGTGCGTTTGAAAACTCAAATATTCTTTATGGGTCATTCCATATTAGTACTTATAACTGAAAAATATTTTTGACTGAGATATTTTTTGAGCTCAGGATATAAAATAATCCGATACGTATTTTGGTATTTCCGCAACGTTTGAAGAACGAACAATTTTGCATATTTCGAAATGTACTTTTTCAACAAAATCTTCTAAAAATACTGAAAGTTAAAATTAGTTTTTTATTTTTTCATAAAAATATGGTTCATATTTCAACCAAAACTGTGTGCAGTGGTTAGAGGAGCGCGCTACCACTCTGCAGGGACTGGGTTCCACCCTGGTCAAAGCAACATCACAAAAAAATATATATAGTAAAAAGGTTTTTTCTTCACAGCGGTCGCCCCGCGGCAGGCAATGGCAAACCTCCGAGTGTATTTCTGTAATGAAAAACAGATTCTCATAAAAATACAATTGCCACTCGGAGTCGGCGTAAAGCTGTACGCCCTCCCCTTTGTGTGACAACATCAAGGCGCAGGCTACAAATCGGATGAGAAGCTCGACAAAACACTAATATATGTGTAAGCGCCAATCTATTATTATAAAAAAAAAAACTTTTAAACTTTATACAGAGCTTAGAAAATTTTAACAAATTTTCATTTTAATCTGATTTTTTGAATATGCAGTTTTGTACCCCATTAAATTTTAATGCAAGTTTTAAGCGGCTGCAAAATCGCGTTGATTTTTAGTATTTTTTTTTGCTGATGGCTAAAACATGAATCGAATTTTTATGAAAAAATAACAGAAAAAAAATTTAACTTTAAAGTCCTTGCATATATT